AATCTTGGAGAGAATTATCTGTGGGGGGCCAGCAGGGGAGATCATGCTCAGGGGCAATCAGCATGGGTTCATCAAAGGCAGGTCCTGCCTGACCAACCTGATTGCCTTTTATCGCCAGGTAACTAAATCCTTGGATGATGGTGTCACTGTGGACGTAGTATTTTTAGACTTCAAGAAGGCCTTTGGCACTCTCTCTTACTTCATTCGCATTAATAAATTAAGCGACTATGGCATTGATGCCTACACAGTTGGATGGGGAAAAAACTGGCTGATGGGGCACACTCAGAGAGTAGTGGTGGATGGGTTGTACTCAACCTGGTGAGATGTGGGCAGTGGGGTCTCCCAGGGCCTGGTCCTCGGGCCCGCACTGTTTAACATCTTCATCAGCGACTTGGACGAGGGGGTTGAAAGCACGAGGGGGTTGAAAGATTGTCAAGTTTGCTGATGACATTAAGATGTGGGGCGAGGTGGGCACAGTTGAAGGGAGAGAGAGGCTGCAACTAGATTTAGACAGACTACAAAAGTGGGCAGACAAGAATAGGATGGGGTTCAATGTAAATAAATGCAGGGTGCTGCACCTTGGGAGAAGGAATCCACAGCATACGTACAGGCTGGGGAGTTTCCCTCTTGAAAGCACAGAGGCGGAAAGGGATCTTGGAGTCATTATTGACTCCAGGATGAACATGAGCCGCCAATGCCAGACTGCACCCAGCAAAGCCAGTCATACCTTGTCATGCATCCAAAGATGCATCTCAAGCTGGTCTAGAGAGGCGATACTCCCTCCGTATGTGACATTGGGCAGGCCACAATTGGAGTACTGTGTCCAGTACTGGGACTTGTGAACCCAGCATTCATTCCTGCCTGTGGCAGGAAGTCAGGCTAGATGATCTGTTCAGGTCCCTCCTGACTCTAGCTACTATGATACTATAATCTAAGTACCTGGCAGTCTTGAATGTATTTCATCTCAACCCCTGCAGGGGTTAGATATAAAGATGGAAGCACAGACGTTAAGGTCCAGATCCTCAAAGGGACTGAGGTATGTAACTTCCAGTAGATCCATAGGAACTAGACACCTCAATACCTTTGAGAACCCAGGCCTAATATCAAGATCCAGAAAGGCACCTTAGGAGCCTAAAATGGGGGTTAGGTAGTATTTTGGTGTCTAAGTCTCAAAGTGATCCATAAATCCCCTTTTCTTGCAGCATCAGAAACCATTAAGTGCTGACACCTTTGGTCCTGACACTTCCTTAGGTCTCTAGATTTGGACTTCCACGAGTGTGTGGAAGCACCCTGGTTTGAGCAGAGGCATCCTACTCCCATCTAGCTGGAGGCTAAGGTGGCTAGCTCCATTAAAAGCTAGATAGAAGATCACAGTTCTGCTTTAGTCTTCAGAGCTGCTAACCTGATATGTATGTTCTGAACCTGACCAATGCATGTCTTGAACATTAAGTCCAACACAAAGCACAGCAACCACAGTTGCTTTCACACAGTAGGAGAAAGTGGGGCTGCTAATCCATCTTTTATGAAATAAACAAGTGGTTAGGTCACTCCAGGATGTGGCAGAGTGGGTGTGCTTCAAATCCACGGCCTCCCTCTTAGGAGGGTGATATAATCACTAAGCTACAGTGGTATGTGTGGGGGCACCATCTATCTGAAATTAGGCCACTGTGGGCATGTCTACACAGGCACACTTACTGTGAAGTAATTTAGGTTACTGTGCAGTAACCAAAAATTACTGTGCAGTACAGGCACATGTCTACATATGCATGCCCATACTGCACAATAACTATGGTGACTTCCACTGACCTGGCCATGAATTTGATACCTGCATGATGCAGGTATCAAATTTACGCCTGATTAGTTACTGCACAATAACATACGTGTAGATGCCTTACTGTGCAGTAACTCTGTATTAGTGCACTTTTAACAGCTGCATATGTAGATGCCAGTGTAAGCTGATACCTGTGAGAGGAATTTCCTTTTATAACACAATAATGAGGTTTCATTTTCAAGAAGCAAATATCTATTGCACGTACCCACAAACATGATTCGAGGTACATATTGTCCATCAGGTGACAAGTTCTTATCTGTGGTTTCATGCTGGCAGGAAAATTAAAAGTAAGTTATTAAAATATTCCAGGGCACTTTGTACAGGTAGCATCTGTGAGTAAAAAATTATGTCAGCATATGAAGCCAAAGTAGGCAAAAAATATAAGAAAGCTGCTTGAAATATGCAAAGCATAAAAGATCATTCATACCATGAGGTTCAGCATAATGAAGTTATTTTGAGCCATTTCTTGTATCTCGTCACTTTCAGCAAAAGCTGCCTTGAGTGCTGGAAGAAAATGTGATAATTTAACAGTGTTGAAGTGATGCTGTAGGTATGAGGGTTGAGGCAATGTGCAAAAAGCAGAAGTTTTTTGTGTGGGTGATATCTTTAATGGACCAACTGCATGCTGGGATATATTTAGACAAGCTTTTGGGTACCTGAGGAGACTGGAGGAAGGGTACCATGATACCTTACAAACCTTGTCTAAAGCTATCCCAACCATGCAGTTGGTCCAATAAAAAACATCACCTACAAACTCTTGCCTTGTGTGTAGTTTAACAGCTGCTTTTAGTCACTGTTCTTCCTTCCTTATGGAAACATTATTGTACATGAGGCTGATCATTTTGTTCATGATTTGCTGTCTCTTCCTGAGGAGACCGTGCATAGGTCTATTGCTACTTTTTGTTTTTGTTTAATGTAGGCACAGTCTTCCAGCTACAAAAATGGAAGCTTGCTTCTGTTATTTATGAAGCCTTTCATTTCAGTGGGTATCATGTCACAGTCTGACAAAAGTTCATTATTCATGGTAAATTCTTCTTCTAAATCAGTTTCAGCAGTCATGCCCTAGTTTCCTTCTCTGGTTACCTGTTTAGGAGGCCTGAACAATATTAAATCTGTTCAATGAGTCAGGAGTAAATTTATGCATCTCTCTGTAGGTTGTCTAGTGCTTCATCAGCCTCAGCATAACTGCTGAAAAATATTTGTCTTGTTTGTTGCAAAAGCTCACTGTAGAGTTTGTAAAAAAATAATAATACTGGTAATTAGTTCTTAAAGCAGCCTATTTTTATTACTTACTTTCTTAATATATTACTCGAAGAACACATCTGAGAGAGCAATTCATTATCACAGCTAACTACAGTGGAATAGCTATGTTAGGCTATAGATATTGGCAGATACATTCAAACATGTTCAGATATGCCAGTATCTATAGTGCATACAAATGTAATTAAGGTTAGGTCAATCTAAATGCTCAGTTGTGAAGGCATTTTCAGGGCTTAAATCACCCAAAACTAAGGGCTGCAGTGTTCCTACCCCTGAGCCTGGACTGGGCTATTTTTTACTCTCCCCCAGACCATCTAGCCCCACCAATTCCTCCAGCCCTTCCTACCACCCCAAGTTACTTACCTTGGGCTGCTCATGCTGCTCTAAGCAATGGTGAATGGCTGCACACTGATCCCAGCTTAAAGTAAGCCAACTAAACCTAAACTGGATGTGGTAAATGCTTGTACATACCCTACCTTGACATTAATTTAATAGTCTGAGAATTGAAATTACCTTGACAGTATTGACAGTCCTCCAAATGATGAATGACCATGAGCGGCTTGTTACTTTGATGACAATAATAATAAAAAAGCTTTAATTAGATCATCTCATGAGTATTCAAGTGCCTCAAATTTTGTTAAAACATCAGAGTATGCAAATACTGCATCTTGCATTACATCATACTTGTAACTGGACTGAGGTATTAGGAAGAACTGAAGATACTTCTAAGCATCATGTGACTCCCTCAAAAAAAACTTGAAGGAAAAAGTAGGGGGAAGATGCATTTAAAATAAGCAGTTTTAAATATGGAGATAGCAGAGAATTATAATTTTAGTCCCATTTAGTATGAGGTTACGGAGAAAACAAAGATGGCCCTCCACTTCCTCAGTGGAATTCAGTCTATAGGCTTTGGCCTGCATGCACTTATTAAGGAGCACTAGTCAAACTTCCATGATTTTTTCCCCACTTTTTCTACCGTGTTCCTTACAAATTTTAATTTTTAAAATGGAAACTTAATGTGTTATTGAAAAACTTGGTTTCTTTTGATCAGTTATTGAACTGGTTGAAATTTTCCAGACATGAAGAGTGTTAATGAAATGCCAAAATATCAACACACAGAAATTGTGATTTTTTTTTTTAATTTTATTTTTTTTATGGATCTTTCAGTTGCCTGTACTATTACGTGCGTTGGCCACTGTGGCCATTAGTTGCACAGTAGAAACTCCAGCTTGTTTTCAGGATATAAATCATATTAGCTGTCCTTTCTTTTACAATAAAGTTGTTAAGTCAGGAAAGGAATGTGCCAACTTGCTATAGACAGAAGTGAGTGCAGTGAAGGGATGTGGATGCAAGTGTGGTTGCAAGTTATACAGGAATCCTTAATTATGTTTCCAGCTGAATCAGAGTGATCATTTAAAGAACACCTTAATTAAGAACAATGAGAGAGCGTGCATATATTTAATGCCATAAGCCAAATGTAGGTGTTGAGAAGCCATTAAGATAAAATTCAGAGTGATAGAACGTTGTCAGAAATACAGCTATCCTGAAAAATATTTGATTGTTTTCTAATAATGGACATTTATCACTTATGTATTTATTATTTCACTAGTTATGGCTGCTGTGTTGTAACAAACAAATATTATATAAATGCCAACATCTTGTCTAAGAGGAGCTGATGCTGTAGAGCCATTATGCCATGTCTGAAAATCACAGAATCATAGAAAATTAGGGTTGGAAGAGACCATAGGAGGTCTTCTAGTCCAGCCCCCTGCTCAAAGCAGAAGCACCCCCCACTAGATCATTCCAGCCAAGGCTTTGTCTAGCTGGGTCTTAACCTCCAAGGACGGAGATTCCACCACCCCTCTGGGCAGCCTGTTCCAGTGTTTTACTACCCCAATTATGAGAATTGTTTTTCCTAATATCGAACCTAAATCTCCCTTGCTGCAGTTTGAGACCATTGCTCCTCGTTCTCATCTGCCACCACTGAACAGTCGAACTCCATCCTCTTTGGAACCACCCTTTAGGTAGTTGAAGGCTGCTATTAAATATCCCCTCAGAAGTGTCTTTGGTAGCAAACGTGATTTTTATTTCTAGAATCAACATACAGTTTGTTAACTGATTGGTTTGTCAGCTAGCTATAGTAAGATGTTTCTTGGTCTGTTTCTTTATAGTACATTGTACTGATGTTCTACCAAATCAATCTTATTTTTTTCAGACTGTTTTTCTCAAAGACTTCTTTACCTTTTTTTGGAGTGATAAAGCCCTTCTTCGTAAGTTTGCACCCAAGTGATATCATCTCCCCAGCCTAGGAATATAACAGAGAAATTAACCAGGAGTCAGAGTTTTCCCTCATAAAAGTCTTGTTTTTGGATTTTGGAAGTTCTTTGCGCCAAAACAGGACTTTTGTTTTTAATCCAAAGATTTCAAAACCCTATGGCATTATTAAATTGCTCACATTTTAAATATTGCACTCATTTTACAGATAGGTAAGCTTAGTACTCCAGGGCGTGTGTAGATGAAATGGGGGTCCTGAATTGAAGCGGTGGGTTTTTAAAAACGCTGCTTCAATTTAAGGCGAAATAAATGCCCGTGTCTTGTACACCCATGTCTTACCTGCCTCTCTGGCAGTGGAGAGGGGAGGGAGAGTTGCCAGCAGGCGGAGTGGTCTCTGGGCTGGGGGGGTGGGGTCTGGTGCTTCCCTCCATGGCAGCGGCAGCCCCCCCCCATGCAGCACACCTCCCCACAGGCACCCAGCTCAGGCAGTCCTGGGGGCAACTGCTGCAAAGGGAAGGACTGAGTCCCTGCACAGCTCATGGAGGCAGGCAGGCTCCGGGGGTGGGAGAGAGGGGGAAGATCATGTTCACCATTTTTTGTTTTTTCTTTTCTTTGGTGGAGTCTGTCTTCCCAGGCTGCTGCTAGACTGCCTGCACAGACTGCCTGCACAGCCCCTGAGCCGCATGGAACCCAGTGCTTCACTCTGCGGCTGAAAGGCAACAGACTAAAACTCCTCGGAGGTGTTTTATTTTGCTGTGCCCCAAAGTCATTTCAGGTGCATTACGCTGCTGAATGTGCTACAGCAGCTGGAATTAATGTGCAATACGCTGCTGATGCATGCAAACACCAACAACATTAAAACAGTACAAAAGCATTTAACCCTCTTTACAGTGTCGTACACACATGCCCCTCGTTTTGTCTACACATGACCCCGGTGGCCAGAGGCCACATTTACAAGGATACTTGGGTGATTGGGCAAAGTTCTTGAGCATGCTAGGCATCTAACTCAGTGACTTTGACAAATACATCTGTAGAGGGGCCTAGGTGTGCCTAACAGTTTTAAAATCTAGGGCAAGTCTGTGAGAATAACCTAAGTTCCTTTAAGAAATTGAAATCAGCCAGAGAGAAGTAGCTTAGAAAAATAGATTCTAGTCCTCATGATTGTAAAGAAGACTTTGAAAGCACAAGCCGTAAATGTTCAAATTCCAGAAAAGTAAAGTATTTTGAAAAAATTCTGAATTTTAAGCCAAAATTTTTGTATATTTTTGGTGTTCCTGAGTCATGGCAGTTCTACTTCTGTATAAAAACAGTCTTTTAAGAATTACTATAAAACAAAAATAAATAGATAACCAACTTCCAACTTAGTTGCATCTGGTCATTTTCTGCTTTTGGTGAAAGTATTGTGCAATTGATTCATATATCTTATCAAATCTTAAAGTGTAAGCTCTTCAACGCTTTTTCCATTCACTAAGGCTTTGTGAATATCATTGTTTCAAGGGCTCAGTGAAAATTTAATGGTTTGGAACCAGCTGAAAATCTTTTTTCCCTATAGTGATTTTGATCAACCTCAACAACTTAAGACAGCTGCTTGGGCTAGACAGTGTTTTTCTTCATTCAGTCTTAACTAAGTTTGGGTCTTCTGGTTGAAATCCAAGTTATATTCTGGTATTTACTTAAAGGAGAAAAAATCCAAACCCTGTTAAATATGGTGTCTCTCTTGGCTTATCCTTCACTCATGTAGAATTCTCTCTCAGGCTGACAGTTTTATTTTGGTCTGTTGACCAAGAAGCATTTGAATTTTGTCTGATTTGATGACCTATGTAGGAAGGTGTCTTATGGTTCCAAGGAACTAGTATGGGCTACTTTTTTTTCTACCAATCTATATCACTGTAATAGCCCAACCTGTTGTAGTTTGTGTGGGCTGCAAGATGTATGATTACAATTTCACAGTATTTTCAAAGCTTGACGTTTGGTGAACTGTGACTAGCTGTATGTTACTATATTTTCCAAATTACTGTACTAAGAAAAAATGGCTTCTCTTTTATATGAGATGCTTACTTATAGGTTTGTTAAGAAGGACAACTACACATTTAAAAAAATAGTCAATATCTATCAGATGGCCCTTTTCTTTGTATAAATCTTCCTTTGTTTCCACCCCCTCTCCCCATACAAGTGTGTATAAGAAGTGCTGTGCATTATTTCTGCAAGACTTTATGATTCTACCTTATATTTTCAGTTCCTGGTGTTTTGAGAAGCCCTTGGTATCTTTTTATGTAGTTACCTTTTCTGTATGCTATTCCACTGTCGGGCTTCTAGGCTAGGCAGTCAAAATGCCTGAGGCTGAATCAATTCAATCTTTGCTGGTTAGTTTAAGCTGTGTAGTTTGCCCCCAGTAAGCATGTGAACAGACATTCACTTTTGATTCTGGAAAAGCAGCCACATGCCTGCAGTGGCCTAGGCCAGAAGCTGGAGGAGCACTAGAGCACACCTCCCTGTTCAGCTGGAGCAGACAGCTTGGGCCAAGGCTAGCCCACCAACCCTGCAAGAAGGGGTTTGTGGGGGGAGTGCAGAGCATCCTGGGGTGCTGGGGGACTGTGAGTTAACTTGAATCTGGAGAGGATCTGGGACAGAAGTTCAATAAACCAATTTAACCTAAATCAGTTAGGTATGATACTACCTCCACCCAGGTTTGTCTTAAACTGGTTTCAGTCATTTTGAAAGCAGTTTGTGCTCTGAACTTCTGTTGTGTTACAGATTTGAACCAGTTTCTGATCACTTTTATACCAGTTTTATGTATAATTCCTGTCCCTAGCCTTATACAATTGCTATAGATTTTAATCAGACCTCTAGCTTCAGATACTTCGTTTCTCACTGCATAGGTGTGATCCCACATGGGTAAAGAGAAGACTGTTACAGCTGTCTCGGCAGTAATGATCCTGTGTATTTGAAGAAACTCTGTGACTGCCTTGGCACACCCTGCCACTCTGAGGGAAGTACACTGAATCATAGCAGATGTAGTTCAGCCAGGGATTTTAACCTCTCAAAAGAATGTGTGCATCCGCCCTGAATTCCCATGGGGCAGTGCAGCACAGTAAGGCAATGCACTTAGTATTTCCTGGGACTTAGTTAGGTTATTCTTAAACTGTTGCAAGCTTACTTGGTAGTGTTCCTGTGCATACTTGTGGTTTTATTTTTTCCCCCCTCCCCCCCACACTTCTCCCTTTCCTTCCAACATTTCTGCTTTGAAATTTAGTGAAAATTACTGTGCCAAAATTGAAGTCTTACTTATGGATAATTGGACCTACATGGAACTTATGTAGCATGTATGCCTTGTGCTAATGCTTTGCAAGAATAATTTTGCAGAAATAATTTCATACAAGGGAGCTAGGGGAAGCTGAAGACTGCAGGGTTCCCAAGCCATCGGAAGAGGAAGGCAGGGGAAATAGAGATTCTTCACAACATATATTCTTTCACAGTTCACAGCATATATTCTTTTACAGTTAATGGGCTCTGGTTTACCCATTAACAGCCTGTTGTCTTTTTTCTCCCAGGTTCTCTACAAGCTCAACTTGGGCTGCAAGACATGGGAATACTTGCTTCCATATCACAATTAGTCATGCATTTTCTGCAGCCCACATTAGGCCATTAGTGATTATACATCACCCCATTCACTAGGTTTACACATCAGATTAGAACTTTTAAAATTATTTTGTTATATAAGAAGAAATGGAAAGTGAATCCTGTTTTTAGATCTACTTCGTTTATAGAGCTAAAAGTAGTAAATATCAGTAAAAAGAACATACATTTTTGTCTCAAATCATACAGATCTGTAAATTTAAGCACACAGATCAGTTGAATTGAAACATGAAGTTTTAAAATAGTTTTAAATTTGATAACACTTGAATGTATAAAATGTGAACATTTAAAACATTTCTGGCTCTTTTTACTAGCTTAAGCAGCTAATTAAATAAAGTGAAGCTACAGGACCTCTTGACAGCGTCTGTGGAGCTCTTTTTTCCTTCTTGATTGCCATTGCAAAGTTGGAAGAGACTGCAATTAACAGGAGTGATAAAGCCAGTGCTGAGTGCAGCATTATTTTTATTAAGAAGGCCCCCTTCAGTGCAGCTGTCAAACTGGAAAACAAAATAATTTGTTTAGTTGGGATGTTTTCTTACAGGGTGCTATAAGAATTTAAAATGTTAATAGCAGTTTAACGGTCTAAGCTAGAGAGACAGTTTGGTTTTGGAAACATCTGTTTTGCTTTGTGAGAACAGGCTAAAATGCAGGTGATCTACCCAAAGTAGATTGACATATACTACATAGTTAAAAATACACCTGGCATTTTGGATACAATTGTTATTGTAATCTGAACAGTGAAAACTACAGTAGTTTCACTTTCATTTCCAGTCAATTTTGAATTTGATCTTTATGTACTAATTCGATATTGTGATGTATATGTGGCAAATGTGGTGGACCAATGTTTGTGTGTAACTTCAAAACAAAGTTGTGTTGAAATTAAAAAGCAGGTGGATGTTTTATTGATAGGCATGTTTCTGATCAAATTTATACTGGCCATCCCTTGATAAAATGACATAGTTTGCCTTCTGGTAGAATCTATTATTTATAAGACATTATTGGAGAAACTTCAGGAGGAAATTTTTCCCAGAAAACAAGAATTGCTAATGTTAATGGCAGTATTTTATGCTCTATACAGGGGCAGGCAATTAGTTCAGGTGAAGGGCTGCTTACTGAGTTTTGGCAAGTCATCAAGAGCCATATGACAGGGGCAGATAAATATTAACTTCTAAACTTTTTAGGGGCCCAGCAGGCCAGATAGAATGGCTTGGTGGGCCACATCTGGCCCACGGGCCACATTTTGCCCACCCCTGCCTTTTATAACAAGATGTGTTGAGAGAGGTCTTAAATTACAGTAATGCTGCTTTTTAAAAAAAAATTATAGTAGTGGAAAAGCCCCCAAATAGGAGCATAGTGGTTACAGCTGTCTTGGAATTTTGTCACAGCAGGCTATGACTGAGCACCAGTAGAAGAGTAACCGATCACCCTTCCAGATCATCAATTTTGAGTACTTTTAGTACGACAGCTGTCCATAAACTGTCTCTAGCACCACAAATATTACTGCAACCAACTCTAGTTCTACCAGATAATTTTCATCAAAGGTTATTATATATACCTGACAATATCAATACAGGAAACAGATATTATTCCAAGTGAAGATAAGAATGATGGCTCCTTAAAACTAAGAAGCATTCCTTGAAAGTTATTCTCTCTCCTAGAGATACCATATTTCTAAAGACAGTTCCCCGGCCTCTAAAATTATCAATTAAGCCACCAGAGTATTGTCCCCCTTCCCTCCACACCTGGTCCTTTATTTTTTTTGAAGGGGCTTGGGTATCCACTTTGTTTAACATAGCCCCTCCTCAGAGTTGGATGCAAAAGCTATTTTTGCCTCAATCTACGTCCGGACAAGAACCCCTTTTGATACTCATTAGTGGTGCTCCTTAATTTACCAAAATGCACTGATGTTGTGTGTGGAGTAATGTGGGGCCTCCCATTTCATAAAGAGGGACTAGAAACACTGCTTTAATTCAGAGGCTGAGACATTTTTGGGAATGAGAAATCCACCTCAAATTCTCTGTAAGGCTCTGGAATTAAACCTACCACTTACATTTTGTTTTACCTTTTATGAACACCTATAGAAACATTAATGCCTATGGCTTTGGGAAACATTCTTAAATTTGACTTCAGAAATATACACATTTCCAACTTCCTTCAAGATAAATGAGGAACTTTTCAAAAATCAGTAAGATTCTTTCCAGTTTCAGAATTGTTTTATTTCAAGGACTATAGAAATATTCCCCTTGCACTTAATCTTTATCGTCATAAAGAAAACCCATGAAGGTTTTTTTGTGGGGGGAGAGATCACTGGCAGTGTTATTACTGGATACAGTTTAACTGTATACAGTTTTGGGAATTTGGGATATTATGAGATCCAGTGCCAATAAGCTAGGTTAAACAGTGCATGATAGCAAATACCATTGAAATCAGCTACCTCTCCACATGACACTCCCTTAGAAGAGACATTTTTTTAGTTATTCTCCAAACTCTTTCTTTTTTCTCTCTCCTTCCCCATCACTACACTTAAAGTACTTTGTTAGCAAACTTTTTAAACACTAAAAACTTTTGCTCACCTTTTGGCTGATCAGTTCTCTTGATGAAAGTTCCTCCTTCTGGAAGTGTCTAGTTAAAAATGGGTGTGATTTATACAAGAATACCTGACCTGCCCAGTTGTGTGTGTATTAACAAGAGCACATTCACCTGCACAAATGATAGGAACCAGTTAATCAGAAACCAAGCTTGTGGTTTTTATTTCCCCCCCTTCTTTCCTCCCTCCAACATTTTACTCTTGTGGGTTCTTAGGCTTGTACACTGAATACTCAGATTTCTCTCCATCTTGGCTTGTATCAGGTGTCTTTGTATTAGGACTCAAAGTAAACAGTGGTTTGTGTGTGTCTGTTACTTTTCCCCCCAAATAGTTTGAGTTTGGCTTATGTCCCAGTGAAAAAAGAAACCACCAATGAAAGCTGGAACTGTATGTGCTATTGTTCCTGATGAATGTCTGAGTTCACTGGTGCTTGGAGATTAGGTATAAAGCTAATAGAAAGATACAAGAGTTACTTTGTGTACAGGAATGCAATTAATGAATGAAAGCAACGTTTTTTTTTAATTTAGGAAAATATAACACTGTTTTAAAGAACATTGTGTAAAATACCTGCTGACTGCTTCTTTAAGTTGAAATATCTAAAAAGTTTCTGTATCTTTACATGCTTATAATTCTGATCCAGCTTGGCAACACATGAAAAGTGCTTCACTGTCCTTGAATACAAAACACATTGCTTTGGTCATTCCTGTCCTTTGTTACAGCTTTTGCATAGACGACAAAATACATCAGAAGCAGTCCTTACCACTGGCTTCTTTCTCTGTATGGATTTATTTTATTCTGTTGAGATCTTTAATGCGTTAATTTAAACTGATTTTTTTTCCTTCTCTTTTCCATCATTTGAAGTTTTGCATCCAGCTCTTAACTTTGCTGTTTGGTTCACTGCTGTTTGTAGCCTATAGATACCCAAACTCATTAAGAGATTACAGCTATCACATGATGGTTTCCTCATGTAATCAAGCTCAACTGAAAAATAAAATCTGATAACAATAAAATGTTTGCTTTGCTGGTTGGCATCGTCAAGTACTCATTCTCTGTATTTACTATTTCAGTGCAAAGACTATTTTTCACTGAAACATTGTGAAAATGTTTGTCATATTTTCAGTGCAAAAGGCAGCCTTAATATTTATAATGAAATGAGTAAACCTGTGCATTTCAAATCTGCTTGAATTTAAATGTAAAATATTTTGACTCCCTTGGTAGATGGACCACAAATAAAAGATGTGTTGGTTAGAAAATTGAAATCAGCCATTTACTTTTTTAATGCTTATTTACCTGTTAGTGTAAATAACCACTACCACAAAAGCTGCCATTAATGTTCAGCCAGTTATCCTTGATGTAGGAATTGTAAACACAAAATCATACAAAGACTCAGTTTTTCTTACCTCCCATGTTTTCACACATCATGTGTTGGGGCAAATGCCTGAAACAAGATACCTACCTTGCTGGTTCTTTTCATTGTACTGGAAATCAAGATGTAGTAGTATAGGCAGGTAGGTTGTTAAAATTGAAGATGGGTTAAATGCAAGGCCTCTTATCTAACTGGATGGGTGCCCAGTGAGTTATCTTCTGTGCCCCTTCCTGAAAGCCTACAAAGTGGGTGTGTCTATATGTGCATTTACTGTGCAGTAACTGCAGTAATGCAATAAGTGGCTTTTAGACCAGCATCTGCATGTATTGTATAGTAATGCTGTGTGTGCTCTGACTTGGGAGTAAAGTTTACTCCCAAGTCAGAGCACACACAGTGTTACTGTGTAGTAAGGAGTCTACACATGCCTTACTGTGCAGTAATTAAGTGTGCATAAATTTGCTACAGGTAGCAATTTATACCCAGCTTGGCATAAGTCACCACAGTTACTGTGCAGTATACGGGTGTGCACGTGTAGACACGTGCCCATGCTTTGCAGTAACTTTCAGTTACTGTGCAGTAAACACAGTAACTGTGCACGTGTAGACATGTCCAGTCATACCTATTTCTTGTGCACTCCTAATTAGTAGAAACTATTTTTATATATCCTACAGAAGGATGCATTAGTCGGGAGTATGGAAATACTAGCCAAGCTTCTTCACCTTTGGCTTTTGCTTATCTTCGTCCCAAGGATTTGTCCAGTTTCAAGTTGCAGGCACAACTGAAATTGGGAACACTGTTCATTTAAAATAATATTTTCATTTCAAAAGCACTTTATGATCTATAGTCTTGAAGCATTATTTAAAAATTAATGAATTCAGAATCTCAGTACCTCTGAAGCAAGTACAGCTATCTTCTTTTTTAAGATTAAGAAACAGGTGCCTAGGGAGGGTACACAACTTGCCCAAAGGCACAAACATTCTTGGTAGACCTGTAAATGGAACTTGCATTTGTACAAATCCTTACTTTTTATTTAAGCCTTAAGCTATAACACATCATGAAAACTCTGTGCTCTCAAAAGATCCTGAAGGGACTTGTCAGAGCCATGCAAAGAAAAGAACAAGATGCAAGGTATATGAATTAATTAGGCCACAACTTTTATTAACTCATCTGGGATCACGATGCAACAATAAATTGTACAGTGTAGACCATGATTTTTCCTTTGATTATTCCTATTTATGTGAAGAGTTGCTGTTCTTCCTTCTTCCCATTTGTTGCTGCCCAGTGCTGGTTCCCCATCTCCTCTTATGAGCATGAATTAGATACCATTTTCTCCTATAAAGATTGTGGGATACAGATGAAAGAGGGTTGTCTCTCCACTGTACTCTCCCAGGTTTCTCAGCAGATACATGAATGGGATCATTTAGCTGGAGGATATTTTGGTGTTAAGTGTTTTCAAAATAGGAGAGGTATTCCTTCTATTATGGTTTGCTGGGCACTGTGGAGGACAATTCTTACTTCGTACTTGTTTTCTATCATTGTTCTTCTCAGAGAGAAATGTCAACTCACTTTTTTTAGCTTCTGTGGGAGCCTTCTTTTAAGCCCATTACCAGTACTAACTTATTAGAAAGCCAGACTCAAAATAGCTGAAACTGGTATAAGATAAACCTGATTGAATGTAGTATCATACTTAACTGCTTTGGGTAAAACTGGTTTATGAAACTTCTGTCCCAGACCCCTTTTTGGTTCAAGTTAAATCAGTCCCACAGCATCCCAGCATGCTTTCCAGCTCTGTGCTGGGCTATGCTGCCTGCTCCAGCATTTTGGGGGGCAGGGGAAGGGGTAGGGAAGCAGGGAATACCCGTTCCTCAGGCAAACCCGGGCTGGGTCTGGGCCCAGGGAGGAAGGGTACAGAACTGCCCTGCTGATAAGCTTACTGAAACTTACTGTTTGTTGTGACTGTGGACAACAAATCCCAGAGGAACCTGGAAACAAGAAGAGGAAGTAATTGGCAAACCTTGTCTATAATTATACAAATGCTGTAGATACACTGCTCTGAAAACAACAGGCATAGGAATAAATTAATTACAGGGGGCAAGTAGTACAGGTGCTCTGATGCATCAGTCCAATATCGGATTGGCACCAATATAAAGAAAATTGACTGTATCAGAAATCAGCCTGATGAGGCTGATAATTTGACTGATAAATGCCCATGGGTATGTGCAGCTACAGCACAGCATGCAGGCAGTGAGGAGCACAGCCTGGCAGTGTGGAGAGCTGCATGCAGGTGGTGGGGCATGGGGGGCCAGATCAACACCCTCCCATGGTGAGGGAGGGAGTGGGGCTGGGGTAGGCACTGCCCAGCTGGAGCAGGGCAGGTGCAGGACAGAGCCCCCTCCCAGTGCCACCACTGCCAACCCCAAGCACAGAGCTGCAGCCTGCCCAGCCCGCCCAGCCCGCCCAGTGCAGATCTGGGGGCACATGCCCCCCTGCCTCCCTGTGCCCTTCTGGACTAGCAGCGGGAGCAGCATCAGGAGCCACCCCCCCTTCCTACACCCCCCAGATGAGCCGCAACTCCATCCTGTGCCCACCCTGGCTGGTCAGTGCTTACCCCAGCCCCACTCCCTCTCTCACTGCAGGGGCCATTGATCTGGCCCCCCATGCCCCTTCCCTCCCCCTCCACTTTCACCACAACAGACTTACGAACTACACACAGCTGTATCTGAAATCAGATCGGTATCAGCTGATATTCTTCTTTAAAAATTGGCTAGCAGTATTGGCCCCAAATATCTCTATCAGTGCACCCCTAGTAAGTAGGACAAGGTTGCAAAAAGTCAGAATATGGAGCATGCATAGGGTAGACCATTAGAAAGATGAGACAGGTGGAATAGAAGTACTGTTGTACACCATGCAAGTTTCATAGTAGCTAGGGTCAGGAGGGACTTGATCAGATCATCTAGCCTGACACCCTGCCACAGGCAGGAGTGAATGCTGGGTTCACAAGACCCCAGATAGATCATCTAACCTCTTTTTGAATTTGCGCAAGTTAGGGGCGAGGACCACTTCCCTAGTTCCAGATTCTGGCCACCCTAACAACTGTAAAATATTCACAAGTAACGCTCATGTGAAAGTTTAGACGCGTATCACTTGCTAAGTCTGAAACTTCTTTAAAATTTAAAAAATATGTTTTGTACAAAGAGAAAATAAAGTAAGTTAATGTGTATATGGAGGGTCACCCATTCAAAACCCTGATGGGACATTACCTGAATTAAGATTCAGAGAACCTCTGGCACAGGACTTGGTAGGTGCTTGTATCCCTATTGTATTGACTGGGACAGTGAGGTAGAAAATGGAAGGGACTTGCTCAGGCCCACAAAGTGAGTCAGTGACAATGCTAGAATGGGAACCCAGGATATCTTGACTCCCAATCTGGGCTATGACTATGTTCTTTTCCAGGACCCCTCTACACATTAGAAGTATCACACAATTGACTGGTTATTTGTGCAATTACCTTGAGATCAGCTACACATGCAAAGTAGCTATCACACCATAAAAGCCAGCTATAAAGTTAGACCTCAAAATGTGTATTAACTTTATAGCTGAGTGCCATCAAACTTTAATTACATTTTTAGCAGGGCCTCCTCTGCAAGGCTCCTAGCCGCAGAGGTACACCATTCCCAGCTGGGGCTGGGAGTCCCCAAGCTGAGGGGACGTAGCCTCAGCAGCTGCCAACTCTGAGTCCTGGCAGTGTGCCTTCTGGTGCCAGGACACAGCTGGGTGAGCCTATGATCTCCCAGCCCTGGGGGTATGTAAAACCCTAAGGCTGGGAGATCACAGTAGCTGTGTCCCCCAGATATACAGGTACATGGAGCACCCCCACAGCTGAGCCCATCAACTGAGTCGCCCCCAGCCACAGGAGCTTGCTTTTTGCTGGTGCAGGGCTCCCCTTGCGCTGGCAATGAGGTGTTATGGGATCTAATGTTAGAGCCCACAATCACACCTCCTGCCACGTATGTGTGGCCTGGCAGAAGCCATGAAAGTGTGGATTGTGCGTTAGATCCCATTGTCCCTTTACTTGCACATGTAGAGGGGCTCCACATTCAGGGATTTTAAGGTTACAGAGGACCACCATGATCATATAGTCTGATCTTTTGCATAACACAGGCTCTTTCTCAACAATTCCTGCATTAACTTCATGTATAAAAGCACCTTGCAAGGGACTGTCAGCTTATATAACTTTTTTCTTCTTGCACCATCTCAGTTATTTCACTTGTACGAAGACATAGTTCCCCAAAATTTCTGAGTAAAAAATCCCTTATGATATACCAAATGTTGTTTTATCTTAGGTTTGCCTTCATAATACCAGATATCTTCCACTGACCATGTGACAGAAGTATTATATATGTGAACTACTTCTAGAAGGAAGAGAAACCACATTGGATTAAAATGAAAAGAAAAATCTTGGTTTCTGCTTTTGGATATTGAAACCTCCCCTCATTCAATAATTTTTATTCACAGTAGAAAAGCTTGTATTTGATCCATCCATTTAGTATTATTTGTTACCACAGGATAATACTTTATATAAATATTTAGTTAGGTATATTTATGTATTATATACATGAAAATAGCATGCAGCTATAGTTGCACTACACTGGTATAAAGGACACTATGAAATACTCTATCTAAAACTTTGAAATATTTCCATGACTTCAAATACCTTTTATATTTGAACATATCTTTCACAAGGGTTACGTGCCTTTTATCTTGTTAAACTGATTTTCTTCTCCTGTTTCTTAGTGGCTTCTGTTCAGACTCTAGTTGATTGCTCATGTCATCTTACACTTTTGGAAGATTTGAGCTTAAAAAGAGAAAGGTACAGGAGAAGATTGAGTGAAATTGCTCTAAATAAATTGATTTCATTAAGTAGATAGCGCCATCTGCTGATGCAGCAAAGATATGCATATCAATGAAAATCAGAAATTTTCAGTGGAGTGTGAGTAAAAAGAGGCTTCATTTTTAACAGCTGAAAAATAACAGCTTAAACCATTGTTTTCTAAATACATCAGAATGAGCATCTTTCTTCAGTGTAATAGGCAAAAATCTCCAGTTTTCAGAAGAGAAAATGAACTGCAGTTATTGATAGAAAAAAAAGGGAATTGACGGATTCATATTTCCACAGGTAAGAAACTGTCATGTAAAGCTTTTTCTTCTGTTTCTCAATTGTGAGTTGTTCAACAAAGGT